AAAAAAAAAAAAAAAAAACTATTGGAAACACATTCTACTTGGAGGTAAGCACTCCTGCAAAGACCCTAAGGCTAACTGGGAAGAGAAAGAGGCCTGCCAGGCTGCACAGAGTGAAACAGGATAAATCACCTGAGATGATTTTGAGGAGGTGGGTAGGTACCTGCTAACAAGGATTTTGTAGGATTGGGGAAGTTCATGAGAAGTGAAATGGGAAAGCCATTGGCAGTTTCAAACAAGAGACTCTAATGATTTTAAATTTGAATGTGGGGAGGTCACTCTTAGGAAAATTATATCACCGTAGATGGTGAGAGCTACAAGATACTTTGGAAGCAAAATAGACCACGCTTCTCTTTGCTGATCTGAAAACTGAAATCCCCAGATAGGTGAATAATTTACTCATAGTCACAGGCTTTATCTGTGGTAGAACCAAGAATGTTGAATATTTGTCATGCCATCCCATCCCACACCATCCCATCCCAAGCTATTCCAAACTATTTTTTCTTTTGTTTTCTTTTCTTTTAGAGTCATGTGCCGTCCCTATTGCCTTTACCCTCACATCCCATTCTCCTGGTGGCTGTTTTCCTCACTTCCTCTAATACTTGGTAGCCACTGCCTCGGATACCTAAGTAGATAATCAGCAGTGAGCTTGTGTTCAGCTGCTGTATTTCTCCCAGTTCCTGTGTTTGGCTCTGGCCCTCTTCTGGCCCTCTTCCGGCCCTCTTCCCTCTCTCCTTGAACACTTTGCCTATCTGGCTAACCACCCAAGCAGATCCTTTTCTCTTTTCCAGTGCTAGAGAGCAGACTGTCTCAAATTTTGAAATTTTGCACACAGTTCTTGAAATGAGTAATCCAACCAATTAGTCCACATTGACTTACTTGTTTAAATAATTGATCTAGCTACACAGTTGCTCCAGGTTGGGGGTAATACTGAAAAGAGGAAAAGCTCAGGCAGCCTCTGACAACAGCCAGGGGAGTTGGCAAGAAGATCCAATTTTTGTTTTTGTTTGTTTGTTTGTTTGTTTGTTTTGCCTGCCAGTCAAGGTAATCTCTTTAGGTTTGTTTCACTACCTAGAGGGTAGTGATGGTACCTTGTCCAGGCTTCCACCTGTGCTCATGTTGAGAGCAAATTTATCTTTATTGTCAAAAGAAACTGGCAGACCTACTCAGACATATTCCCTAATTTACTCAGAGAAAAAGTAGAGACATCCTTCTTTTTATTTATTTTTATCTCCTGTGTTTTATTTGAAAATGATTATGCTACTTTCATGACTTCTTTTTCCCCTGTAAGCAAAGCTTTACAATTAACATAAAAGAGTTTCTGGGAGTGTTTGATAAGCATTATCTGATTTGAAAATTCTTTTGGAGTTCTACAATGAATAAATGGTGAAACTTCATATTAAACTCCTTAAAAATCTCTGAGATTTCAGTTTTAACTATTTTCTTCTTTATTTTATTTTAAATTTACATTATTCCAACTCTAGTCCTCATACTTACCGGAATTACATAAATGTATTTACTGTTCTCATTGTGTGACAGACTAGAATGTGATTCTTACAACTGAGTGAGCATCCCAATCACCTAGAGGACTTGTTAAAACACAGACATCTAGGCTCCACCCCAGCATTTCTAATTCACTGCATCTGGGGTGGTACCTGAGAATTTTTACTTCTAACAGATTTCCAGGTGATGCCAGGAAACAAGTTCCACAGTGGGTCCAAGAAACCACACTTTGAGAACCACTGGTTTGAGATATTGACAATGAAAGGTGTCTCAGCATATAATGGTTAGATTCATGGAAATAAAGGGGGGGGAAGACATCACTTCTAATGAAGATTACATCCAAATTACACCAATCATTTAATTTTCTACCTTTTCTTTCAGTGGAGAAATTTCATCTGTTTCTCCTCTGAATGTTTCCCAGCTTCTAAGCTTGTTTTTTTTTTTAAAAAAAGAATTTATGAAAGCTAAAAAATGGAAGAAAGAAGTGTTCTTTATCCTGCATTTTTTGATGGTTGTATAGGTTGTTTGTAACTTGTATAAAGTTAATTTCATTCATTGGATCCCATACAGCACGCTTCTTCATTTCACGGAGGATTTGAGATGGGCTTAACAGAAACTATGAGAAAGAAAGGATGTAGTTTCCAGGACGACTTTCTTAAACACTTTGAAACTCAGTTTTCTGGATATCGAATATAGATAGAGATGACAAAACACATCTCACAAGGTTTCGTTAAAGATGCAACGAAGTAGCACGTACAGCACGTCTGACATAGCACACAGCAGCACAGAGTGATTAATGGTTGTCAGAATTGTTTGTAAGCTAAAATTACTATAGTCAAAATATGGTTTGTGTAGAAACAAGCCTCATGCTCACTAATGCCAAAAACAGAATTAAGAATTTGGGGCTAAAATTTTTAATCAATTACATCAAAATCCATGAAGGTAATCACTTAATATTCAAAACATCTTGGCATTTGCCATCATATTATATACTTTTGAGGCATCATGAGAATAAGTCCAAAGGCATAGAGCAGTTGTGTTGAAAAATATAAAGGCATTTTATACCTGACCTTGTCCATTTCTTGCCCATCTCCCCTTATGCTCACCACTACACTGCATGTAGGCCCAACTTCCCCCTGCCAGAACCTGCATTTCTTGATGTAAGGACTTTCTGTGGTTCTTGCAACCCATTTTTCCCACCTACGTGTCAAGCTTCACTACTATGAAATTAACATCCCCCCAATAGCCTTCAACCAATGATGGGAGATGATGTATAAGTACCCCAATTCTTCACCCTTGAGTGTGATAACCCTGAGGCATGTGTTTCCCAGAGCTTCCCAGTAAGATTAAACTAGTAACCAACACTGGTTGCTGAGCTGAATAAGTGTACCCTTATAATCTCTCTTCCCTTTCCTGTCTCCATTCCCCATTCCTACACCAGTATTTGCTTTACATGACACATAAACTACTTATGCTTGAAAGCTCATCTCAGGGTTGGCCTTTGGAGTAACTCAAATGAAAGATATATTGTGAATGTGTGTGTGTGTGAGAGAGAGAGAGAGAGAAACAGAGACAGAGACAGAAAGATACGCATGTACACATCGAAAATTGAGGATTATACATACCCTGCCTAACGGCCTCCAGCAAGATTCATAGAGTTGGACAAATTGAGTTTAGTACTTCTGGCAGTGAGTACTTTGGGGAACTGTGGGTTGTATGAGTTAGAGCATATTAGAAAGAACCTGTTGTAGGATCTGGGTTTGTGTTAGATGATTTGAGGGAGAGTTGAAGAGCTTTGCTTTGGGTTGCATGTTGCCAGTAAGTGGGAATAACTCTGTGATCGGGTATCTTAATAAATCTGTCCTAGAATGAAGGAGGACTAGAGTGATGCTGAAGGTATAATTGATAAAGAAGCAGCACAGATTCATATTAATGGGGACAGGGAAGTGTTAGATATTTTGTGGTTTGGGCAGTTTATGCTTTGTATATATTCTAACATAATTATGGAATGTAGTGGTATTGTTGAATGATCCACAATGGTAACAAAGTAGCCTTGTCTGATGTTGATATTCTGTGAAATACTTTATATTCCATGGGAGAAGACCAAAGGCATAGCTGAGGACCAGGTGAGCCTCCCTCCTTTCAGGGGCTGCTCTTCTCCTCTTCCTCTTATATGTGTTCAGTTACTGTATAGAACTTTCTTTTCTCAAAATATGGTTCTGGATGTAGCATTAAGAAGACTTTTCTATATTAATTATCTTTTGATTTAAATAATGATATTTTTATTGATTTCAATATTATTCATCTGAGTAATTTAGAAATGATTTCAATTCTAGAATATGGGATATTTTTGTTAGTATTGAAATACGTGTTTCTTGCTTGTCTCATATGTGTGTGTGTGTGCGCGTGTATGTGTGTATATACGCGCACACACACACACATATATGAAAGAGGGCGAGAGAGCACACCGCAAATACATACCCACGTGATGACTACTTTGCACTGCATTTGGATGAAAGAGCTATTACATTCTGATGATAATTTTTTCCTTCCAACTTCAAATTTTAACTAAACCTAAATTTATGGAAGTTATTGTAGTCACTAACAGATTTATTTTTATTAATCTTTTCACAGGGATCTTGTGGGAGAAGAAAACATATGATACAGAGGAATGCATTTTGGAAGTAAATCCATTGTCTTGCTATCAAGTAAGAGAGCATTCTTTGTTTTTCAGAGAGCTAAAGAAGAGGCCCAGCAGAAAGAAGCCAAAGTGAAACTCCTTACTGAGTCCGTCAATAGTGTCATAGCTCAGGCTCCCCCTGCAGCACAAGAGGCCTTTAAAAAGGAACTTGACACTCTAACCACCAACTATCAGTGGCTCTGCACCAGGCTCAATGGCAAATGCAAGACCTTGGAAGTCAGTTGCTTTTCTTGATCTTTATTACTTATGTGTCAGCTTATGATCCTACATGAAACACAGTGATTAAGAACAGGAATGCTGGTGTTAAGACTACTCAGGCTCAGATTCCTCGCAAAGGCACTTAGAAGTTTGTGACCTTGGGCCAGTTGCTTACGTTGTATAAACGTTTCCTATCTGTGAAATGGGCAAAAATACCTATTCCATAGGGTGCTGAGAAAATTAAATGAGCTATTCTATTTAAAGTACTTAGCCTAATGCCCAATAAATGTGAGCAATTATAGTTCTAATTCTTCTTATTATTACCATTATTATTATTAGGTCACAAAAATCTTATAAATAAGTTTCCTCAAGACTTATAGAAACTGGTCTTTATTCTTTTATATTTGAATGTGCATAGAATCATAAGTATCTTAGCAGAAAGGTATTTTGTGGAGAAGTATATTTTATTGTAAATGTCTTTAAGAATCGTTCTGCCCTATAGGGTGCTTCACAAGACATGTTGTCTAGCTCTTTTGGGGGGACATTTTGTATTATATTTATGCATCATCTGAAGTCCTGCATTATCTTTTCCACATGCTTTACTCCTTAGATTATCTGAAAATTGTTAATAAAGAATCCATGTGAAAATACTATTTACTAACAGTAAGGATTGTGTTGAGGAGCACAAAACTTTACCTAGCACCAAAAGCCAATGCTGCCAGAGACTGCCGCTAGCTGGGCTGTAAATTAAGCCCCCTTCCCCCACATGAACTGAGTCATCTTAGTGAATATAGTTGATAAAGAAGTCATATATATTCCAAACCATTGGAGATGGACTAAAAAGGGACTGTATGACTTTATAACTTCAGTACAAATAGAAGAGGTTAGAAGTGTAATTATAGATGAGAAATAAAGGAAATCGGAGGGGGAGACGAACCATGAGAGACTATGGACTCTGAGAAATAAACTGAGGGTTCTAGAGGGGAGGGGGTGGGGGGATGGGTTAGCCCGGTGATGGGTATTAAGGAGGGCATGTACTGCATGGAGCACTGGGTGTTATATGCAAACAATGAATCATGGATCACCACATCAAAAACTAATGATGTAATGTATGGTGATTAACATAACATAATAAAATAAAATTTAAAAAAATACCCCCTTTGCCTTACATTTCCTCCTCCCCACTTCTCCATTTCCATTCCCCTTTACAGAAACTCTTTCCATACCACTCTTCCCATTCTCTTTTGAATGCTCCCTAATCAAACTTTCATCATCATCACTACCCTGAAACAGTTTTTGTCATGATCACCAGTGAATTCACATAATTAAATCCGTTGTTTAGTCTTTATTTTTGTTTGATTGGCTTCTATATCATCACTTTCTATTGGTTCCCTCTTAGTCTGCCTTCAGTTTCCATGACCACTCTTAATACCTTTGGTGGTTCCTTTGCCTTGACCTCTATACTTGGAATCATTTTAGGGCTCATTCTTTGGACTTCTCTTCCTTGTCACCACTTACTCCTTAGGTAAACTTATTCACTGTTGGAACAAAAAAATCCAAGACTGGATGCACAGGACAGGGTAAGAGGAAGGGTTTGACTTTACTTGCATCACTTCTCCCCCAAGGCCGCATAGCTCCATGTCAAGAGAGCCCTTCTCAGAATCATGATTTCTCCCATGTGGAAAAGTGAGACCAGGTGAGAGAGTGCCCAGCTTCCCTAGCTATGTGGGATGTTGCCGAAGAAGCATATTTCCCTCTCTTCAATCCACAGTACTAAGTTGTGAACTACACTACTGAGGGGTAACGAGCAGCTGAAAGAACAGCCACCAGGTCTTGGAATTGTATTAAAAATACACAGATCATATTAATATCACTGACTTCATCAGGAGGTCCACCCACCAGCTGCTGGGGTCACTCTGCCCAGTGATCTCCCCAATTTCCCACAGCACTACCAGTGTCCTATATGACACAGCTACATACATCCCAATAATGTGGCTGGCTTCCAGTGCATACTCTGAATGGTGGCAAGTACAAGCTTTTGTAGGAAGCTAATGAGCATGTACAGAAGGTTGGCCTAAATCTGCAGGCCTTGGAGAAACCACAAACCTGGCATTTAGCACCACTCTTGGGAAAGCAAAAGGGAGGCTGTCAGTACCTCGTCTGGTTTTTTGCAGGATAAAGGGAAGCCATACAAGCTTAAGAATTCTGCCACAAGAGAGAGCCAGAATTGTGGAACAGTCATATTCATAGAGGGTCTCAGATAGCCTCAGAATCCCTAGCAGGGTTGACAGAAGGCATTTCTCTTCTGATGGCAGATAGTAAAGACTGGAGGAGGTGACTTTTACTGTGAATGCAAAGACCATGTTGCCAGACCTCAAGGAACATGGAGAATTAAGGAATCATGCTACTACCAAGTGTCACAGTAATTTTCCAGTAGCCAACCTCAAGGACATGGAGATCTACCACTCATCTGTTAAAGACTTGAAAATAGTTATTCTAAGGAAACTCAATGAGCTGTAGGAAAGCAAAGACTATTCAATTAAATTAGGAAACTAATACATGAACAAAATGAAAAATTTGTAAAAAAAAGAAATAGAAATCTTAAAAAAAATAACAAATCTGAGAGCTGAAGAATACAATGAAAGAAGTGGAAAAAGTAATAAAGAGCTTTAATAGAGTGGATCAAGTGGAAGAAGAAAATCTGTGAAGATAGGACCTTTAAAATTGGTCAGAGGAGAATGAAAAAAAAGTGAAAAAAACCTGTGCCCTATGGAATACTATCAAGAGAAGTAATTTGTGAATTACTTGACTTGAAAAAGTCATTTATTTTATCAGCAAAATAAGCTTATTTGGGAAGAGTAGAGGAGATGCAATTTGGGACAGTTAAACTATGGCAAACCATAGGCACATCTGAAAAGACAAAAGCAAGGTCAGCTTTTATTAGATTTCAGGGTGAAATTGGGGAAGGTTGTTTTGAACAAAAGTTTATCGGAGAAGGACAAGAGTGTAAGGATGTGGCAATTTCTCATTGGCTGCAGGCATTGTTTAGCACATTGTTCCTGGGGTAGGAAGAGAGCTTCCTTCTTCCTGCTGGTTATGTAGGCTGCAGGGAGTGGTACATGTGTGACAGCTCCCCCTTTAGGGCTTCATGACTCTTTTAAATGAGGTTTCCTATACTCATTTTCATACTTTTTGCCTACAAGGGAACCTCGTAAAGCTTTCATTGGATTTCTCAGCAGAAACTTTACATGCCTGGAGAGAGTGAGAATATATTTTTTTAAATGCTGGAAGAAAAAAATTGCTAAGCAAGAATATACTATCTGGCCAAGTAGTCTTGCAAAACTGAAGGAGAGAGAAAATCTTTTATAGACACACAAAAGCTGAGGGAGTGCATCACCACTAGACCTACCTTAGAAGAAATGTTGAAAGAAGTTCAAGCTGAAATTAAAGGATTTTAATTAGTGGCAAGAAAACATATGAAAATATAGTGTATACACTGCATTAATAGAATGAAAGATAACATACTATCTCAGTAGATGCAGAAAAAACATTTGACAGAATTGACAAAGTTTGACATCCTTTCATGATAAAAACTTAATTCCATATAAAAGGAATGCCTCTGATCATAAAAGCTTTTCCTCTAAGATCAGACAAGGGTGCCCACTCTCACCACTCCTATTTAACATAGTCCTGGAAATTTTAGCAAAAGCAATTAGGAAAGAAAAAGAAATAAAGACATCCAAATTAGGAAGGAAGAAATAAGATTGTCTGTTTGCAGATGATGTATTCTTCTATATAGAAAATCCTGAAGAGTCCACCAAAAAAATGTTATAACTAATAAACAGATTCAGTAAAGTTGCAGTATGGAAGTAGTCAAATTATGCAATGAGTGCAGATGTCCATTGACTGATGGTTGGAAAAGAGAAGATGTGGTATATATGTATACAGTGGAATATTACTCAGTTATCAAAAAGAATAAAGTCTTGGCATTTGCAATGACGTGGATGGAGCTAGAGTATATTATGCTAAGTGAAAAAGTCAGAAAGAAGTATCACATAAATTCACTCATGTGGAATTTAAGAAACAAAACAAAATGGGGCAACTGGGTAGCTCAGTTGTTAAGTGTCTGACTCTTGATTTCGGCTCAGGTTATGATCTCAGGGTTGTGAGATCAAGCCCCACATGGAGCTCCGGGCCCAGCACAGAGCCTGCTTAAGATTCTCTCTCTCCCTCTCCCTCTGCCCCTCCCTGCCCCACTCGCATGCATGCACACTCTCTAAATAAATACATACATACATACAGATGAATATAGGGGAAGGGGGAAAAAGAGAGAGTGCTGGGGGGGGGCAGGGGATAGGCTAGATGGGTGATGGGTATTAAGGAGGGCACTTGTGATGAACACTGAGTTTTATATGTAAGTGATGAATCACTAAATTCTACTCCTGAAACCAATATTACATTATATGTTAACTAAAATTTAAAAACTTGAAAAAAGAAGTTGCAGTATAAAAATCAATATATAGAATTATGCAGGAATCAGTTAGATTTCTATACAGTGACAACAAAATATCTGAAAAAGAAATAAAACAATCCCTTTTATGATAGTATCAAAAACAAAAGAGTTAAGGAATAAGTTTAACCAAGGTGGTGAAAGATTTGTACTATGAAAACTACAGAACTTTGTTGAAAGAAATTGAAGAAGACACAAATGAAAGATATTTATTCATAAACCCAAAGCCATTTATAGAGTCATTGCAATCCCTATCAAAATTCTAAGGACATTTTTTCTCAGAAATCGAACAAACATTCTTAAAATTGGTGCAGAACTCAAGAGACCCCATATGACCAAAACCATCCTGAGAAAGAAGAACAAAGACAGAGGTGTCACACTTCTGATTTCCAACTATATTACAAATCTGTAGTAATAAAAACAGTATGGTACTGGCATAAATATATTCACATAGACCAATGGAAGAGAATTGAGAGCCCAGAAATAAACCATCATGTATACAGTCAACTAATATTTGGCAAGGGAATCAAAGATAACCAATGGGAAAAGGATAAATCTCTTTAATAAATGGTATTGGGAAAACGGGATAATCACACAGAAGAATGTGATTAGATTCCTATCTTACCACAAAAATTAACACAAAATATGTTAAAGACTTAAAAGACCTGAAACCATAAAACTTAGAAGAAAACAGGGAGAATGTTCTTTGGCATTGGTCTTGGCAATGATATTTTCGATATGACACCAACGCACAGGCAACAAACGAAAAGTTAAGTGGAACTACATCAAACCAAAAAGTGTAGATGCACATCAAAAGAAACAATAAAATTAAAAGACAGCCTACAGAATGGGAGAAAATATTTTCAAACCATGTATCTGATAGGGGGTTTTTAGCTAAAATATATAAGGAACTTCTACAATTCAGTAGGAAAACACAATATGGTTTAAAAATAGAAAAAATGAATACTCTTTCCAAACATGACATACAAATGGCCAAAAGTTACATAAAGAGAATGCTCAGCATCACTAATAATCGGGGAAATGCAAAGCAAAACCACAGCGAGATATGACCTCACATCTGTTAGAATGGCTATCATCAAAAAGGGCAAGAGATAACAAATGTTGGCAAGGATGTGGAGAAAAGGGAGTCCTTGAGCACTGTTGGTGGGGATTTAAATTGCTGCAGCCACTATGGAAACAGTATGAGTGTTCTTCAAAAAAAATTAAAAATAGAGCTACCTTATGATCCACCAATCCCACTTATGGGTATATTTCCAAAGGAAATGAAATCAAAATCTTGAGGAGACATTTGCACCCCCATGTTCATTACAGCATTATTCACAATAGTCAAGATATGGAAACAACCTAAGTGTACAGCAATGGATGACTGAATAAAGAAGATGTGTACCTATACATATATATGTGTGTGTGTGTATACATGCATATGTACATACAATGGAGCATTATTCAGACCTGAGAAAGAAGGAAATCATGCAATTTGCATAAATTTGGATGGACTTTGAGGGCATTATGCTAAGTGATATAAGTCAGAGAAAAAAATATTGTATGATCCTACTTATATGTGGAAACTACAAAAGCTGAACTCTAGAACAGGGTAGTGGGGGTGGTTGACAGGGCTGGGGGTGGGGTAAATGGAAGGATTTCAGTCAAATGTTACAAACTTCCAGGTATACACAGAATAAGTTCTTGGAATCTAATATACAACATGGTGACTATAGTTAGCAATGCTGTATTATATCTTGAAGGTTGCTGAGAGAGTAGATCTTAAGTGTTCTCATCACAAAAAGAAAAAATGGTAATCATGTGAGGTAATGGAGGTATTAACTAATCCTATTGTGGTAATCATTTCATAATATATATGTGTACCAAATCCTCACATTGCGCACCTTAAACTTATACAATGTTAATGTCAATTATACCTAAATAAAGCTGGGGGGGAGTGGAATGAGGAAGGGCAGTGCTGAATGTTAGATTTAAAAAATTCTAGAATGGGTGGGGCGCCTGGGTGGCTCAATCGTTAAGCGTCTGCCTTCAGCTCAGGTCATGGTCCCAAGGTCCTGGGATCAAGTCCCACATTGAGCTCTGAGCTCCCTGCTCAGTGGGAAGCCTGCTTCTCCCTCTCCCACTCCCCCTGCTTGTGTTCTCTCTCTTGCTGTGTCTCTCTCTGTCAAATAAATAAATAAAATCTTTTTTTTTTTAAAGATTTTATTTATTTATTTGAGACAGAGAGAATGAGAGAGACAGAGAGCACATGAGAGGGGGGAGGGTCAGAGGGAGAAGCAGGCTCCCTGCCGAGCAGGGAGCCCAATGTGGGACTTGATCCAGGGACTCCAGGATCATGACCTGAGCCGAAGGCAGTCGCTTAACCAACTGAACCACCCAGGCGCCCCAATAAATAAAATCTTTAAAAAAATTTCTAGAACGGGAAACATGAAGAACTTTTTGTTTTATATCTGAGGTGTGGCTCTGTAATCTGAAACTCTATAATCTGAAACTGTGGGTAGAATGGGCAATTTAAGGCTAGAATGCTGGCATCACTAATATGATAAAGGTAAGGGGAAAATTGTCCAAATCTTTTTATAGAAATCTTTCTAAAATATGAAACATCAAAAATTCCTATCTCTGTCTGGTCAGGCATAGAGCTGTGGAATGTTAAGTCTGGAAAAGACCTTGGAAATCATCTGGTCCCATTGTTAGATTAGTTATAGAGCAGAGATAAAGAAAAATGAGGTGATGTCTCCAGGTTCACTTAACTTGCTAATGATTGAGTCCAGGTCTCCTGATTCCAAAGCTGATGTTCTTTCCAATACATTTGTACTGTCACCTCAGAATGACTTCCCACCTGCTTTTCCTTTTAAAAAAAATCACTCCTGATCCCTTCCTTCTGGTGTAGTTTAATAGCATGCAGTTTATATATATATTTATATATATATTTTTTTTTACTACAAGTCTTTGGCTAAGTTCTGTTAGTCATTCTAATATTATTGTCACTTTGCCAACTGCCTGAAAAGATTATAGTAGAACATCTGAGTAGAAATCGAGCAACCTGTTTTCTTACACTGATTATAGGCTCATTGATTATGCAAATAGCCTTTATACTTAAATTAGCTTAACTGATAGACATATTGTTCTAGCTATGTCACAGTGAAGCATTTATTTACATTTCAGTAGCTCAGGCACTACATTTACCAAGGAGAGTGAAGAACTAAATTTCTTTTAATTGTATCAGGCTTAAGATGGTTGTAAAGAATAAGGAAAATTAATATGGTCTGCACATATTTAATATCTGCTAAAGTACATAAAAATTTCATTACACTAAAACTGTGTGTTATATATTAAGACTGTACAATTAAAACTCCGTTCCTTAAAAGATAGAACTCTACTTAATTTCCGAGAAAAGAACTAACATCATTGGATTAGAGTTCCTTTTTAAGGTAAAAGAGAAGCAATATATAATCTTTCTAGTACCAAACTGAGATTTTTCCCTCAGTGTGGTACAACAGGGTGCTTTGTAACAAGGGATTGACATGCACAATTTCCTTGTAGATATTTAAAGTTTTGCTATTTTTCTGGTTAATAAGTAATACATCTTTTGTAAAAAGTACTTCAGAAACATATGAGGCTTTAAAAGCACAAATCTCCTCCTATTACCACACTTACTGTTTTGCAACCTGCTTATTAAGCTTAAAATTATATACCAAACCACTTTCACTTCAGTACAAATGTATTGGTGCCACATAGTATCCCATTGTGTGCGTCTCACAGTTTGTTTAACTTATTCTCCACAGAAGCACATTTGGATCTGTTTCTAATATGTGGCTGTCTTCAAACTGAATTGAATAGTGTTCATTCCACTTTGTATTTCTGTGGTGTTTGTTGTGATCTTTCCTCTCTCTTTCCTAATTTTCTTTATTTGGGTCCTTTCTCTTTTTGATAAGTCTGGCTGGGGGGTTATCAGTTTTATTAATTCTTTCAAAGAACCAGCTCCTAGTTTCACTGATCTGTTCTAGTGTTGTTGTTGTTTTTCTATATCATTGATTTCTGCTCTAATCTTTATTATTTCCCTACTTCTGCTGGCTTTAGCCTTCGTTTGCTGTTCTTTTTCTAGCTCCTTTAGGTGTAAGGTTAGGTTGTGTCCTTTAGATTTTTCTTGCTTCTCGAGGTAGGCATGTATTGCTAATACTTCCCTCTTAGGACTGCTTTTGATGCATCCCAGAGGTTTTGGACTCTTTTGTTTTCATTTTCATTAGTTTCCATATATTTTTTATTTCTTCTTTAATATCCTGGTTAACCCATTCATTCTTTAGTAGGATGTTCTTTAACCTCCATGTATTTGTGGTCTTTTCAAACTTTTTCTCATGGTTGACTTCAAGTTTCATATCGTTGTGGTCTGAAAAGATGCATAGTATGATCTCAGTCTTTTTGTACTGATTGAGGCCTGATTTATGACCCAGTATATGACCTATTCTGGAGAATGTCCCATGTGCACTTGAAAAGAATGTGTATTCTGCTTTAGGATGAAATGTTCTAAATATATTTGTAAAGTCCATCTGGTCCAGAATGACCTTCAAAGCCATTGTTTCCTTGTTGATTTTCTGTTTAGATGATCTGTCCATTGCTACAAGTAGGGTGTTAAAGTCCCCTATTATTATTGTTTTATTATCAGTGAATTTATTTATATTTGTTATTAATTGTTTTATATATTTGGGTGCTCCCACGTTGGGGGCATATATATTTACAATTATTCCTGCCACTTTGTATACTGTGTTTTGTATGATACATTCTTTAAAGTGAAAGAGTAAAACAAATTGTAAAAATTAACTGGAAGAGTAGACTCAGATTTATGAACATTAGAAACTGTGCCAATAAATTTACATATCCAACTGAAACATATTATGAAAAAAATATTTTCTCTATGCTTTATTCACAGAAAAGCATAGCCATACACAACAGCTAAATTATAGTCATGGGGGAAGATGTTCATTTTATTACATATGCCAAATAAATGGCTATATCTTATTTTAACACGTGAAATTAAGTGTAACCAATAGCCATGAATTATTTCCTCATTCATATAAGCTTTTTTACTTCTTGTTTCATCTTTTCTATCTAAGCTTTCTGTTATTTACAGACTGTTCAGTAATAATATAATGATAATGTTTTGTGACTTTCAATATTCATGCTTTGCTTGTTCATTTGTTTTATGGAAGGTCTATGCCAGGAAGGAAGCCTTAAAGGGAGGTTTGGATAAAACTGTAAGTCTTCAGAAAGATCTGTCAGAGATGCATGAATGGATGACACAAGCTGAAGAAGAATACCTAGAGAGAGATTTCGAATATAAAACCCCTGATGAATTACAGACAGCAGTTGAAGAGATGAAGGTAAAATAAACCAAATAAAATGAAGCAAAGAAAGAAAAAAACAGAGAAAGCTGCTACTTTGCTTGACATTGTGATTCTACACTATCTATTCTTTCCTTGGTTTAATGGTGGAGGTTGATTTTTAATGAATTCAGCTTCAAGTTTGGTATACATTATGGATTCTGAAACTTTTTATTTATTTATTTTAAAGCATTGTGGTCAAAATCTAAATATTGACAGTCACCGTTAGCAACATTTTCCCCATGACATTATATTGTATTAAGTGATTGGAATCGGCTACTCACATTAGCTGTTTCTAGTGATGAAAATTCAAAAGGAAAATATGCCAAGTGTTACTGCAATGACAGTTGAAAATGTAGCTAACAGGCTGTGTTCATTTGGTGTTTTAAAGGGGTTTCTGAGAATTTGGATACTAACTACTTTAATTGATGGCCTTTAATGTGAATAAAAAGGACTGGGTTTACATGGACTTCTCAAACAGTAGGATAAAAACTAATAGTGATTTAGGACCAAGGAAACTAGTACGTAGCAGGGACTGGGAGGTGAGGCCTGAAGTAAAGTCTCTGCAGTGGCATTTCAGTATGGCCTTGGACAACTGGACAGTCAATGTAATCTCTGATTTGTAATGTCTACACCATGTCATTCTCTAACTTGAATGTATGAACTGAGAATTGAAACTTACATGTAAGTAAATTGCCTGGCTCAGAGTGGGCATTCAAAGACCCTGTGGTAAGACCAAGAGTATTGAATATATTTCATTCCATCCCCTTCCATTCTATGCCATCCCATCCCAGGCTATTCCAAGTGGATCACGTGGCTTTAGTCACCTATAGAAAGTAAAATTAAAACGTATAAGGAAGACTTCATTTAAACAGTAATAGTTTTCAGGGTATTAAAACCTGCATAATTATTCTAATCTAATAATACCATATATCATTCATTCATTTAAGCAACAAACATTAATTGTATAGTTACTTATGTGCTACATACCCTTTTAGACACTGAATACAAGACATAAGAATGACCTGACTTCTTGGAACTTACATTCTGGTGGGGGGAGACCTGACTTCTTGGAACTTACATTCTGGTGGGGGGAGAGCAGGCAGTGAATGGAGAAATAAACAACTCTTTTGAGATCATGGTAGTTTGCCTAACAAGTAAACCACAAATGTGAAATAAAAAATAATTAGGGTTTAGGTGGGAGTTGGGGGTGGTAAAATGCTATATTAGAAAGGGTTGACATGTAAGTAATTCGTGAGGCGTTATAATCGGAAATAGGTCTCCTAAGAAAAAGTCAGCCTTTAAAAAAAAAAAAAAAAAACTATTGGAAACACATTCTACTTGGAGGTAAGCACTCCTGCAAAGACCCTAAGGCTAACTGGGAAGAGAAAGAGGCCTGCCAGGCTGCACAGAGTGAAACAGGATAAATCACCTGAGATGATTTTGAGGAGGTGGGTAGGTACCTGCTAACAAGGATTTTGTAGGATTGGGGAAGTTCATGAGAAGTGAAATGGGAAAGCCATTGGCAGTTTCAAACAAGAGACTCTAATGATTTTAAATTTGAATGTGGGGAGGTCACTCTTAGGAAAATTATATCACCGTAGATGGTGAGAGCTACAAGATACTTTGGAAGCAAAATAGACCACGCTTCTCTTTGCTGATCTGAAAACTGAAATCCCCAGATAGGTGAATAATTTACTCATAGTCACAGGCTTTATCTGTGGTAGAACCAAGAATGTTGAATATTTGTCATGCCATCCCATCCCACACCATCCCATCCCAAGCTATTCCAAACTATTTTTTCTTTTGTTTTCTTTTCTTTTAGAGTCATGTGCCGTCCCTATTGCCTTTACCCTCACATCCCATTCTCCTGGTGGCTGTTTTCCTCACTTCCTCTAATACTTGGTAGCCACTGCCTCGGATACCTAAGTAGATAATCAGCAGTGAGCTTGTGTTCAGCTGCTGTATTTCTCCCAGTTCCTGTGTTTGGCTCTGGCCCTCTTCTGGCCCTCTTCCGGCCCTCTTCCCTCTCTCCTTGAACACTTTGCCTATCTGGCTAACCACCCAAGCAGATCCTTTTCTCTTTTCCAGTGCTAGAGAGCAGACTGTCTCAAATTTTGAAATTTTGCACACAGTTCTTGAAATGAGTAATCCAACCAATTAGTCCACATTGACTTACTTGTTTAAATAATTGATCTAGCTACACAGTTGCTCCAGGTTGGGGGTAATACTGAAAAGAGGAAAAGCTCAGGCAGCCTCTGACAACAGCCAGGGGAGTTGGCAAGAAGATCCAATTTTTGTTTTTGTTTGTTTGTTTGTTTGTTTGTTTTGCCTGCCAGTCAAGGTAATCTCTTTAGGTTTGTTTCACTACCTAGAGGGTAGTGATGGTACCTTGTCCAGGCTTCCACCTGTGCTCATGTTGAGAGCAAATTTATCTTTATTGTCAAAAGAAACTGGCAGACCTACTCAGACATATTCCCTAATTTACTCAGAGAAAAAGTAGAGACATCCTTCTTTTTATTTATTTTTATCTCCTGTGTTTTATTTGAAAATGATTATGCTACTTTCATGACTTCTTTTTCCCCTGTAAGCAAAGCTTTACAATTAACATAAAAGAGTTTCTGGGAGTGTTTGATAAGCATTATCTGATTTGAAAATTCTTTTGGAGTTCTACAATGAATAAATGGTGAAACTTCATATTAAACTCCTTAAAAATCTCTGAGATTTCAGTTTTAACTATTTTCTTCTTTATTTTATTTTAAATTTACATTATTCCAACTCTAGTCCTCATACTTACCGGAATTACATAAATGTATTTACTGTTCTCATTGTGTGACAGACTAGAATGTGATTCTTACAACTGAGTGAGCATCCCAATCACCTAGAGGACTTGTTAAAACACAGACATCTAGGCTCCACCCCAGCATTTCTAATTCACTGCATCTGGGGTGGTACCTGAGAATTTTTACTTCTAACAGATTTCCAGGTGATGCCAGGAAACAAGTTCCACAGTGGGTCCAAGAAACCACACTTTGAGAACCACTGGTTTGAGATATTGACAATGAAAGGTGTCTCAGCATATAATGGTTAGATTCATGGAAATAAAGGGGGGGGAAGACATCACTTCTAATGAAGATTACATCCAAATTACACCAATCATTTAATTTTCTACCTTTTCTTTCAGTGGAGAAATTTCATCTGTTTCTCCTCTGAATGTTTCCCAGCTTCTAAGCTTGTTTTTTTTTTTTAAAAAAAGAATTTATGAAAGCTAAAAAATGGAAGAAAGAAGTGTTCTTTATCCTGCATTTTTTGATGGTTGTATAGGTTGTTTGTAACTTGTATAAAGTTAATTTCATTCATTGGATCCCATACAGCACGCTTCTTCATTTCACGGAGGATTTGAGATGGGCTTAACAGAAACTATGAGAAAGAAAGGATGTAGTTTCCAGGACGACTTTCTTAAACACTTTGAAACTCAGTTTTCTGGATATCGAATATAGATAGAGATGACAAAACACATCTCACAAGGTTTCGTTAAAGATGCAACGAAGTAGCACGTACAGCACGTCTGACATAGCACACAGCAGCACAGAGTGATTAATGGTTGTCAGAATTGTTTGTAAGCTAAAATTACTATAGTCAAAATATGGTTTGTGTAGAAACAAGCCTCATGCTCACTAATGCCAAAAACAGAATTAAGAATTTGGGGCTAAAATTTTTAATCAATTACATCAAAATCCATGAAGGTAATCACTTAATATTCAAAACATCTTGGCATTTGCCATCATATTATATACTTTTGAGGCATCATGAGAATAAGTCCAAAGGCATAGAGCAGTTGTGTTGAAAAATATAAAGGCATTTTATACCTGACCTTGTCCATTTCTTGCCCATCTCCCCTTATGCTCACCACTACACTGCATGTAGGCCCAACTTCCCCCTGCCAGAACCTGCATTTCTTGATGTAAGGACTTTCTGTGGTTCTTGCAACCCATTTTTCCCACCTACGTGTCAAGCTTCACTACTATGAAATTAACATCCCCCCAATAGCCTTCAACCAATGATGGGAGATGATGTATAAGTACCCCAATTCTTCACCCTTGAGTGTGATAACCCTGAGGCATGTGTTTCCCAGAGCTTCCCAGTAAGATTAAACTAGTAACCAACACTGGTTGCTGAGCTGAATAAGTGTACCCTTATAATCTCTCTTCCCTTTCCTGTCTCCATTCCCCATTCCTACACCAGTATTTGCTTTACATGACACATAAACTACTTATGCTTGAAAGCTCATCTCAGGGTTGGCCTTTGGAGTAACTCAAATGAAAGATATATTGTGAATGTGTGTGTGTGTGAGAGAGAGAGAGAGAGAAACAGAGACAGAGACAGAAAGATACGCATGTACACATCGAAAATTGAGGATTATACATACCCTGCCTAACGGCCTCCAGCAAGATTCATAGAGTTGGACAAATTGAGTTTAGTACTTCTGGCAGTGAGTACTTTGGGGAACTGTGGGTTGTATGAGTTAGAGCATATTAGAAAGAACCTGTTGTAGGATCTGGGTTTGTGTTAGATGATTTGAGGGAGAGTTGAAGAGCTTTGCTTTGGGTTGCATGTTGCCAGTAAGTGGGAATAACTCTGTGATCGGGTATCTTAATAAATCTGTCCTAGAATGAAGGAGGACTAGAGTGATGCTGAAGGTATAATTGATAAAGAAGCAGCACAGATTCATATTAATGGGGACAGGGAAGTGTTAGATATTTTGTGGTTTGGGCAGTTTATGCTTTGTATATATTCTAACATAATTATGGAATGTAGTGGTATTGTTGAATGATCCACAATGGTAACAAAGTAGCCTTGTCTGATGTTGATATTCTGTGAAATACTTTATATTCCATGGGAGAAGACCAAAGGCATAGCTGAGGACCAGGTGAGCCTCCCTCCTTTCAGGGGCTGCTCTTCTCCTCTTCCTCTTATATGTGTTCAGTTACTGTATAGAACTTTCTTTTCTCAAAATATGGTTCTGGATGTAGCATTAAGAAGACTTTTCTATATTAATTATCTTTTGATTTAAATAATGATATTTTTATTGATTTCAATATTATTCATCTGAGTAATTTAGAAATGATTTCAATTCTAGAATATGGGATATTTTTGTTAGTATTGAAATACGTGTTTCTTGCTTGTCTCATATGTGTGTGTGTGTGCGCGTGTATGTGTGTATATACGCGCACACACACACACATATATGAAAGAGGGCGAGAGAGCACACCGCAAATACATACCCACGTGATGACTACTTTGCACTGCATTTGGATGAAAGAGCTATTACATTCTGATGATAATTTTTTCCTTCCAACTTCAAATTTTAACTAAACCTAAATTTATGGAAGTTATTGTAGTCACTAACAGATTTATTTTTATTAATCTTTTCACAGGGATCTTGTGGGAGAAGAAAACATATGATACAGAGGAATGCATTTTGGAAGTAAATCCATTGTCTTGCTATCAAGTAAGAGAGCATTCTTTGTTTTTCAGAGAGCTAAAGAAGAGGCCCAGCAGAAAGAAGCCAAAGTGAAACTCCTTACTGAGTCCGTCAATAGTGTCATAGCTCAGGCTCCCCCTGCAGCACAAGAGGCCTTTAAAAAGGAACTTGACACTCTAACCACCAACTATCAGTGGCTCTGCACCAGGCTCAATGGCAAATGCAAGACCTTGGAAGTCAGTTGCTTTTCTTGATCTTTATTACTTATGTGTCAGCTTATGATCCTACATGAAACACAGTGATTAAGAACAGGAATGCTGGTGTTAAGACTACTCAGGCTCAGATTCCTCGCAAAGGCACTTAGAAGTTTGTGACCTTGGGCCAGTTGCTTACGTTGTATAAACGTTTCCTATCTGTGAAATGGGCAAAAATACCTATTCCATAGGGTGCTGAGAAAATTAAATGAGCTATTCTATTTAAAGTACTTAGCCTAATGCCCAATAAATGTGAGCAATTATAGTTCTAATTCTTCTTATTATTACCATTATTATTATTAGGTCACAAAAATCTTATAAATAAGTTTCCTCAAGACTTATAGAAACTGGTCTTTATTCTTTTATATTTGAATGTGCATAGAATCATAAGTATCTTAGCAGAAAGGTATTTTGTGGAGAAGTATATTTTATTGTAAATGTCTTTAAGAATCGTTCTGCCCTATAGGGTGCTTCACAAGACATGTTGTCTAGCTCTTTTGGGGGGACATTTTGTATTATATTTATGCATCATCTGAAGTCCTGCATTATCTTTTCCACATGCTTTACTCCTTAGATTATCTGAAAATTGTTAATAAAGAATCCATGTGAAAATACTATTTACTAACAGTAAGGATTGTGTTGAGGAGCACAAAACTTTACCTAGCACCAAAAGCCAATGCTGCCAGAGACTGCCGCTAGCTGGGCTGTAAATTAAGCCCCCTTCCCCCACATGAACTGAGTCATCTTAGTGAATATAGTTGATAAAGAAGTCATATATATTCCAAACCATTGGAGATGGACTAAAAAGGGACTGTATGACTTTATAACTTCAGTACAAATAGAAGAGGTTAGAAGTGTAATTATAGATGAGAAATAAAGGAAATCGGAGGGGGAGACGAACCATGAGAGACTATGGACTCTGAGAAATAAACTGAGGGTTCTAGAGGGGAGGGGGTGGGGGGATGGGTTAGCCCGGTGATGGGTATTAAGGAGGGCATGTACTGCATGGAGCACTGGGTGTTATATGCAAACAATGAATCATGGATCACCACATCAAAAACTAATGAGGTATTGTATGGTGATTCCAGGAGATTCTATTAGCCACATAGAGAATTCCAAGGATTCCAGGAGATTCAATTAGCCACATAGAATTCATAGAAAAGAGTATCGTATATTTTATTATTATTTGTAAATTGTGTGATGTAAAATAGCCTCTATATCAGTAAAAATTTAGATAAATGTGTGTGTATGTACCTAAAAAAAAAAAAAAAGAAGTAGAGGGATAGCTCAATAGTTTTGAAAAATTTATTAATATGAAAATAAAAGATCCCGTTAGAAAACATATCCCAAAATAGATTTCTGATGGATTGGCCTATCTTTTACATGAACAACATGAGTAATAGGAAGCAAAGAATAATAGTGATGTAAAGAAATTAAGAACATAAGAAAATATTTAAGAGTTTCATTTTAAAATATTGTCAGAAAGCAATTTCTTAGATACAAAAAATCCCTCCCTCATGTAACATGATAGTGAATTAGTTCTGACTTTCCTGGGACCCATAGTGTTATCTCTTCCCTTCCTTTCCCGTTCTTTGTTTTATTTTCTGTAGCTCTCAGCACTAATACAACAGATTTTGTTCTCTCTTTCTCTCTCTCATTTGAGTGTTTCCCTTTAATATTTTCTATATATCTATCTCTTTCTATTGGATTCTGTGTATTTTTCTGAAATCTGTCTTCTAGTTCTCAAATTATCTCTTCAAATGACTATTGGTGTATAAATATACTCATCTCTATATACACATCTACCCATATACACGTGTGGATATAATTTTGTATTCTTTCAAAGACCTTATTTTCCATTTCTTAAGATTTTACTTATTTAGAAAATTTGTCTCTTCTTTTATGCAATCTTCTGCTTTTGCATAATTGATTCTATTTCTTCCTTTTGTTAAACAACTTAATCCTATGCAGTCTGTTTGGTTGAGAAGTCTCAGTGAGTAATGAGTATGGAAGAGTTTTGGTTTTCCAATAACTGTAACCACCCATGTCAAACCTCATTTTCTGCCTAGTAGTTGGCTTCCTAATCACTATTGCTGTCTGATCCCATGATTTTTCATTCACTTTTAGTTATTAAAATTTAGTCTTATTTAAATTTTGATCTCATAGTTTGTTAACATCTTCCATTAGTTTAGATTAATCTGTGGCTTCAACAATTTATACAAAGGTGGAAGTGAGAAAAAAATGATTTTGGCGTCCTCTCCTCCCACTCAATTTCTGGATAGTGATTGTATAGTGTTGGTTTAAGGGAGGATAATGAGGGGGAAAATACATTCTTTATATCAATGTCCTTTCTTTGCTGATCACAGTTGCTATACCCTTTTATAACACCCATAGACATCTATGATGATGAGTATGTTATCACCAGATTCTATAGGTTATCACCACTGATCTGGCTTTTTCTCCCTAGACTTGGTGTGATCTGTTGGGGATCCGTATTCATATAGACTGTGAACCCCCAAAGAAGATCTCCTATTCATTCATGGTGCCTTGGGGTATTCAACAAAATTTCAGGCTGACTCTTGCCAGTAGCCTTAAACCACATTCTCTTGAAAGTTACATCTTTTAAACCCATGGTTCCATGATGTGCTGGATTCTTATTTCTCCACCACATTTCAGCTTAGCCAGCAAGCTCTGGCAGATCCCATCTCCCGTAATTCCATGATGCCTCTTTGGCCATACCAGCAGCTCAGTGGGGAATGCATGCCAACCATCTCTTTCTGAATGTACCTGCCCATTCGATGAGTGGTATTATTTTAGATCCTTCCAGGAAAAGGGACCAGATGGGTTTCCCCTAAACACCACAGTAAAAAGTTGAGAAAAAGAATTTCCTCAAGGGCACCTGGCTGGTTCAGTTGGTAGAGCACATGACTCTTGATCTCAGGGTTGTAAGTTCAAGTCTCACGTTGGGTGTAGAGATTGCTTTAAAAGATAAAATCTTAAAAAAATTTGCCTCACGGGGCGCCTGGATGGCTCAGTTGGTTAAGCGACTGCCTTCGGCTCAGGTCATGATCCTGGAGTCCCAGGATCGAGTCCCGCATCGGGCTCCCTGCTCGGCAGGGAGTCTG